GACTTGGGCAGACAGTACAGATAGGTAGACCGGCTTTGTATAAAATAGAACGGTTCAGTCTTGAAACTTAAGCAGTCACGGAAGGGTGATGAACTAGTCTGAGGAATAGGGAAACAAATAATTACGTCACGTAATTAACATTGATATCACATTCCCCCGGTACACTACCCTATATGCATGCCCACCATAATGAATGAATTTAACTGACAATACAGATTCAGTGAAGGCATAGATGTATTTCCAGGAACCTAAGCTCCCGCTATCGCTTCGTGATTGTTGAAGTGTGCAAGCGCCAGTAGATTAATCTAGTTACCTCCATAGATTGCTTATCCGCATGGATTTGTGGCTGGACGTAGACTAGTCATTGTTCGCTCACAAGTGAATGGTCCATTTCCGACAGACACTCCGAGCCACGAAATGCGTCATATTAGCATTAATGTCCTCTCTTCAGGGCCAGAACTAAAACCAAATACACTGCTATATCTCGAATATCGTGTCAACTGAAACATGATACGGCCTTTGTGTAGCACATTCAATCGTAGAATACCATAAACGAGAGATTACGTTGAGTCTCTCGTGAAAGCCAAATTGATTTGCAAATGAGTGTATTTCTCAAAAACGGTCCGATTCGGGTTCAAGTGGAGCATAAGGTTGACGGAAACTCGGGGACTGTGCCTACCTGATGAGCCCCAAGAAGGTCGGGACCAGTCTTAGGCTGTCGAAGAGTTTTCAGCAACCTTGTTAGTAGTTTCCTTCATGAAAGCAATTTTTTTCAAATTCACCTGAAGGTTGTCCTTATAACTTCTTTTTTATACACGTCTGCACTAAACGTTTCCCCGAAAACCAAAAACAGCAATCGTTTTGGAATCGGTTGTCTTGCGTTCAGCGTAACCTAACCAGGTTCTCTATATCCGATCTAATAATTCTCTTTTTTGGCGGAACACGAAGCATATCCCAATGTTGTTGCTTGATTCGTTTTCAAACAGTCCCAAATTCCCTTCATGGTTTGTCCATCTTGGAAAACCCAAGAACTAAAATATCGCATTCGATTGTTACCGATTGTGACCAAGCTTTTCCGAAAACACTATTAGTCATGAATGATGACCACCATTCACTAATGGTTACTGACCATGTGGCTTTGACAGTGGAGTACAGAAATCATTTCATTTCTTTTAAGAAGGATACATCGTAACGGTTTCTAAGAGGACCGTACACTTGAAATCAAAATTTCAGTTGTAATTTGTGGATGAATGCGTTATGCTGTTGATCACAGGCAATATACTGGAGATTTCAAATCCAGCTACGTGGTCTCATCGACTGCGGTTCTTGACTCCTATCCAAAAGTGTGCAAAATTTCGGCTTCAAAGTGGTTTCTCTTTTGTATGTCCGGTCTTGCTCAAAGCTGCTAATTTGTTGCCAAATACTGACAACAAATACTTTCCGTCTGAGGCATCTGTTATTTTTTTTCACTGTCCTATAAGGGTCTACATTTCATTGAGTGATGTTCC